TCGCAATCTGCGGATTTAAGATTTATGCTTCCTCAGCTGTTTTGCTTTTTATTTGTACTCTCTCTCTCTTCAAACTTAACTTTATCTTTTGTCAAGGGGAATGGAGTCTGCAGGGAGAAGGGTTTCACACAGCTTGGAGAACAAATGTGTAGCAAAGATCACTTATCTACCAGCTTGAATAGTCTTCTACACCTAGTGATGGGGAATTGAAGATATAATTAGTAGGAATATAGGATTTCAATTGGGGGTCTTCGGGGGGAGAAGGGTTTCATACAGCTTCGAGGAGAGAATGTGGAGTAAAGATCACTTGCCTACCGGCTTGAATAGTCTTCTGCACCCATTGATGGATAATTAAAAATATAATTAGAAAAAATAGGAATGTATGATTTCAATTATTCAGGCATATTGAAATTTTCCTTCCAAAATCTCTTTTTTCTCTCCTTTCTTCTTCGAGTCCTCTCTTTATTTTCTCATACAAGTTCTGCATCACCTAGCTTTCGCAATATTTTCTTGCTTGTGTGAGAAAAGGAGGGAGGGAGGATTCAAAGGAACAATGAAAGTTATGAGGGGAGAGGGGGAGGAGCTTATATATTGATTTTGATGATACTAAACTATTTCGGTATTGTTCTTTGGTTGTTACGGGACTATATTGTGGCTCTTTTACTGAAACAATCTCTTTTATTCTATGTATGACTCTATTTGGTTTGAAGGGAAACAGAAAGGAACGGAAAAGAGCTGGAGAAGGTGGCACATGTTGAAGTCGAAGGAAGGAAATGGAGATGTTAGGAAATGATGAAAAATGTCCATGTAAATTCTCTCTTACCAATAGTACCCTTTAATTAAGGCTCACAATGTTTTCCTACCTATGCAAAACGTTAGTGTTGCTGTCCCAGGGAGGAGGGAGGGGAGGCCAATCTTATTGGCTATGTTTCAATTTTCTCGTGTATCTCAAAAGGACCTATAAATCTCAGTCGTAGGTTTCCTTTTTTGCCAACACGAAGTACTCCCTCTATCAGTGGTACCGTTTAGAAAATCTTGTCACCGACTTTAAATTATATGTCATGATTTCACGTCTTTTCTCTTCCTTTATTGAACTATTGGCATAGAAATAAATTATATATCATGGTTTCATGAGAATTGTGGATAGCTATTAGCCCATTGTATTTGTCCTTTTTTCTTCCCTATCTCTTTGATCCTTTTATTTTCTTCCCTCTGCACTATAAACAGAATATTAGCGAGCTTTTCTTTTCGTCTTCTTTCTGATTGTGCAGAGAAATGTAATGTGATCTATCACAGAGGAATATGTCATGCTTTACATACCATTAGCAAGGAGGAAGGAATCTCTGGCCTTTATAAAGGACTTGGGGCAACTTTATTGGTACTATTTTATTGTCTTTTGATTCGATAATGACTGTATTTTCCTTTTCCTCCATTGGGTGATTGCAGCTTGGGTACCAATGCAGGGGCTGGGCCCAAATTTGGCCATCAGCTTCTCAGTGTATGACACTGTAAGATCTTATTGGCACTATCGCTGGTAAGACTCCTTAGATCGATGCACCTACTTTTTGGGCTTTGAAATGCTATGATGAGTTGAGCTCCTTCACAAAAGAAAATTGAATTCGTAGAAAAATTCGGTGAACTTACCTGTTCTTACTTTTTGACATCAGACCCAATGACTCAACTGTTTTGGTCAGCCTTGCATGTGGGAGTCTTTCTGGCATTGCATCTTCAACAGGTGAGTAGTGGGACTAGCATAAAACAACTCCTATAAAACTTGAAGTTTTGTAAGGTTACCAATTTTCTCACTGTTGGAGTTAGAATACAGTGGAAGGTTTCATGTTATATTGTCTAAAGTGTTGTTTTCTGCATTTTCAGACTTAGTACTTAATGATAAAATAAAGTAGGGACAAGAATCCCAATTGTAGTGAAGGATCTTAATGCCTGTAGCTGTCTTCAATGCTTTTTATGCAGAGAAGCAGGTTGAAGTGCAGGCTTCTCAAAAGTACCTAACCAGACTGACCCCTAGAGCCAGAGGTCCCGACACTTTAATATTGGAATATGGGACTTTTCGTAAGGAAGTGAAAAAAATAAATAAATAAATATTTTGCTATTTTCTTACTCACAAACAAACTTCTATAAGGATATTGATTGGTATAATTCGGCTCTCCAAATATGCAGTTGGCTCTATTATAGCTGGCTAATTCTTGGTGAGTCAAGTTCTGCAGTTACCAAATTGTGAGAGGTGTCCTCTTTGAGGTATGCTTCTCATCTAGGCTTCATATGCCTGTTGTTCCCTGATTATAGTTGAATGTATAGGATCTTATTGGTGCATTTCTGACTAGGTTCGTTTTCCCTTAATTAAACTTGAATGAGTCAGTCCTACAATCTCCACCCCCCTGCCATTCCCAGACCCCAATAAGAGTGAGAAGAAGATGAAAGTGAATGTCACCTCCTTTGGAAAATAAATAAAACCATTGGAATAAAGAAACAGAAAGCTTAACCGGGAAGTGCTACAAACCAGAAAGATGACAACAATTACCTTAATGTTAGAATTTCTTCCTGGTTATCTGCATATATTGCATCTTACATAATTTATTTTGATCTGAAATGTGTGGTTGGTGTACAACCCTGCTACTGGATAATTGGCCGGAACTTTTATTGTATGGAAACACAGTTCCTCGAAAGCTAGTTTAAAATTTGAAACTGATCATGATTTCTTTGAAGAACTTACCTCAAGGTCTTCTTCATAGTAATCTATTGACATCTCTTTCAGCCTGAAGGCTCCCTTCTAGTATATGAAAAGTTCTGCACTGCCCTTGGAAACTTCCATGTACCATACTTTTCAGTATCAATACAATTCCCATCCCAGTGATGGTTAGAAAAAGAAAATCATGAATATGCCTAAATTTTGCTTCTCACTGCATCATCTCTGCAGATTGTGCTTTCCATCCTCTAGCATTGTGGCTTGCTCTACCATGGCAAGCCTTGAAACTAGATATATATGAGCAGAAACAGAATCATTTGTGCTTAAATACCAGATTTAGCAAGGGGGAAGCAACCTTTACAACAAATCAATGAAGATAAAAGTGTATTAGTTTTGAAGGACTATAGGCTGATGTTCCACAACCGAAATGAGCTATTTATAGGAGTGCAAAACATCAGTGCTCCATGATGCACATAAAAGACTACGCTAATAATACCTACTAGTTACAATTAAAGCAAAATGAACTTTCTGAAACCCCTTTTCTTTACAAAATTCCTGTTGTAGTAATCAATACAAAATCAAGATCTAAGATTCTGGCGTCCATGTGAACAGCATTGTTAGGCCTCCTAATTTTTCTTTTTTCATCTCTCTCTATTTTCATCTTTGCGGGGCCAAAAAGTCAATATGACTTGTTATTGCGTTTAGTTCTGTCCTCCTATTATTGGAAACAGGTTTCAGGCAGTTCAATGTTACAATTTTTGAGGTTTAAATTGTAAAAGTCCATCATTTTCTAAATTGTCGATGCAAGGCCAAAAATTGGAATACATTGATTCCTCTCGTTCCTGTCCTTTGCTTCAGGGCCTGTCCCACGGTGTTATCAATACTCCATACTGTCGGGCAGTTCCAAAACAAAAAAAAAGTTATTCTGCATCAAAAAGCGTCTTCGTAAAAATATTTGGAAAAGGAAGGGATATGGGACAGTGTTAAACGCATTTTCCTTACGAAAATTTCTTTCTACCGGGAATTCAAAAGTTTTTTTGTGCAGGAAAAATAAGTGATAAAATGTTGGAATAGTCTAAATTGACTGGACTCAAAAAGTTGACTCATTTCAAAAAGCAAATTAATGAATTCCATTACCTATTGAGTTAATCAATATGAAATGCATCACTAACCAAGATATCCTTTTGAGATATATTTTTGCAATTTATGTTTTGTGTTGTGTTTATCTTGGACAGAAACATAAATGAGTTTTTAACATGGAACGGTTAAGTGCTTCAACCAGAACATGGAGCTGCTTTTATGTTGAGCTCATACGAATTGTTTTGCAGTTACATTTCCCCTGGATCATGTGAGGCGACGAATGCAGTTGGAAGGAGCTGGTGGTAGAGCCCGTGTTTATAAGACGGGTCTTTTTGGTACATTCAGGCATATAATCATGACTGAAGGCCTGCAAGGTTTGTATAGAGGGATTCTGCCTGAATATTACAAGGTTGTACCAGGTGTGGGTATTGTCTTCATGACATGAAAAATTGAAGCAAATTCTCTCAAATATTCCTGAAAGTTGACTAGTTGCCATCTGGATATCTATACATAGGATCCTTTATCAAGTGGCAGAGTGCTTGAATAGATGAGAAGCGTTGATATGTATCACCATTGTAGCACCGATTTGTTGTGGTTGATTTGATAGAGATGACTGTATTACTTTGTTTCGCGGTCAGCTTGACACCAGTGTGGTGCCTAACTTGTGACATTCTGAGGATTAAGTTAGCAATGTACATTGATGATTAAGTCTAATATGAAAATGATTAAACAATTTGGCCTAGTGCTTATATTTGTGTTTAGCGTGTATAACTTGATACTACCATTTATAGGAGTTCAGAGATTGCTTACATAGAGGTTTTCCCTTTTAATGGAGCATGTTACCATCTTGACATTTTGGTTTATTAAGAATGTCTCCCCATGTTCTGGGAATGATCGTGTTGAGCTAATCAGACGAACTCAATGTCTCGGGTCTGTGGAGAAGTGTATTCTTGAACCCTGATTTTTGGTATATGCTCAGACATTTTCAGAGGACTCCTAGGTTGCTTGTATGATTAGAAATAATAGTGAGAAGTTATGGGAATTTCATTAAAAAAATATGCTTATTTGGAGAGAGTCGCTTTCGCTCTTGTAACCCCATTGGGTTTCCACAAAATGAGCTAATCCAATCTTTGCATTGTCAACTCATTCCCCATGAGGAACTCCTTTCATGGCAGAAGGCTGGATAGTGTCCACAACAAATTCACCCAGCACATAGTTACAACGGAAAAGTTCCAGTCAAGTGAATATGATCCAAAGTACAACGTAAACCATACTTATTTACTGCTTCCATTGCTAATCTAAATCCTCCTCCATAATCTGGAGAAGCATCATGGGCAATCTGATGCATAAAAAACTTGCCTAGATTATTTTCTGTGCTGGACTTGTAACCTTTCTTAGATGATGATGATGATGATGAAGCAGTCGATGTGGATGGCATACTTGTTGATCCATACGACCATGTTGACGATGATGAAGCCATAGAAGTGGATGGCATATCTCTGGATCCTGGCATTACTTCTGACTCAAGCCACATGTGTGAGAGCACCTGGCAGATTCCTTCTTCTACCTTGGGATTAAGATTACGGTAGCCTGCATTGCAAGTTGTACGGTTAGACTGTCATATGTGTCTGTTGTTCATCCATATAAATCTTTCCCCTGAGAAAATATGTATTACCGTTAAGACGTAACCAACCATGCATTAGCTCGTGCGCAAGGATCGCCCCCGTCAGTAACCTGCAGCAAGAATTGATCTAATCTGTAACATCAACAGTCAACTTAAAACCAGTGGCTGCCTGCCACTGCACAATAAATCAATTTACACTCTCCTAGACACATGCTCAATGAATTAACCACAATACTGTCACTTCATATGACTATCAACATGAAACTACAGGAAATCATGAAGCAGCACATTTTGGATGTTCCTTGCAGAAACTGCAGACAACCAGCCTGAAATGTCGTAAAAGAATGATGGATGAAACCGAATATCAAACGTTACCTTGGCAAGCCATACAAAACCAGAATGGCTGTAACGGCACATCTGGGAGTCAACTTCTGTAGTTGAGTTCTCATACCTACTAGTCCACGACCCCCGATTCTTGGTCTCTTCAGTATCTGGACATTTGTCGTGAAAAAATAGAAATAGTGAACACGGTAACTTTTATTTTTTAGTAGGTAGCACTTATGATGTCTTAAAATTGGAAATGAAGGAAAAGCAGATGGAGGGATGCAGAAGATCTTACACTTGTAACAGTCTGCTCTTCAGACAGGCATAAACCCCTTGTTTCGGGCATGTGATGGAAACCCTGGAAAAGTTTTCTAAATTAAACAAATTTCTACAAAAAAGAACATAAGAATGGAGATGGAAACTATCATTACATGTTTTTCCCCTTCAATGGCCTCATTAAGTGCTTGTCTTTCAACAAGAAGCATCGGAATTTGCTGGTCAATTCTCATATTCATTCCTTCGTAGTAATCTCTGATGGTATGGTAAAGTGGTTGGCAGTCCCCGGTATCCATGATAGCTGATTCCATGCACTCTAAGCATATACTTCGTCCATCTCCAAGTGATACATATCTGGTCTTCCGTGACTTGAAACCAAAAAACAAAGAAAGAAAAGACTATAAGTTGAGGAATGTGGTGTGATCTTGTAGAAAATCAGATCAGAACCGACTTTGGAAAATTTATACCTCCAAACGTTCACAGCTACAGCATCTAGCTGTGTTGTCATGTTCGTGGGAAGGACAATATTTCTGAGACCAATACGGATGGCATCTGTACTCAATCAAACCAGCTCCATTCGTTGGAATCTATACGTATATCAATAGTAGATTAGTAGTGTCAATAGTGGATCATTGATTATAAAAATATCAAATGTCTTATTTGCAGCCAAATAATGTACTTACAAATTGGTGACACACTTCACATTTAGGATGAGTGAGCTCTTTGAAGCAGGACTTATGGTATGTATCCTTTCCTGACAAAGAGAACTTCAATCAACAAAGAAAATTGATGAGATGTGAGAAAAAAATCCCGTGGCATTATTTTTCCAACATGAACACAACCATAAAATGAGAGAGAGCAGGCAAATGATCTTCCATCCTGCTGGATGTAAAAATTTCAACTATTGATACTTACAAACCCAAGGGACCTACCTCATGTTCAGTGATCGGGTATCCACAGGCACGACAACAGAAGCATTCCGGATGGAAAAAAGTCCCCATGCATCCCAAATAATTTCCATACTCAATTTCGCGGTTGCAACCTCCACATACTCTGCAAATGATGGAGCATATGCAAACAATATTAGCCATATCCTGCCAAGCTAAAGCTTGCCATGATGGCACGAGTTCGCTTTTCAAAATCATGCATATGCAAGGTTTTCGAAAGCTCAACAGATCGTTAAATTGATCAAATTTTCCTAGTAGAAGATCAAATTGAATTAAATGGTGCAAGTTTGTGTCTCTAACCAATTTTCACACTTCAGAGGCTTACCAGAGCATTCAAATGTCAATTTATGTTATACGAATAATTGAACATACTCATAGGCATCAGTTTATGCCGTCTGCATCGACCATCAAAGATGAGGTGACTACTTGTGAACTTGGTTAGTCCTAACTGACTTAGGTATTCCATAAAGTGTTTTTTCAAATAACCAAAACCAAACAACATGCTTAATAGCAGATGTGAATAAATATTTTCCTTCAAGTGGATGACACTTGGACAACTGAATCAATTTTTCAAAAACATTATATTGAACATATAGTACCTATGTCCCTTATGATAATAATCTCGAGGGGCATATGGAGGGTCTCGAGGAGCATGTGGAGGGTCTCGAGGAGCATGTGGAGGGTCTCGAGGGGCATATGGAGGGTATGATGATATATTGAGGCTATCACGAAGTGACCTTGCTAGATCATCATCATTGTCTGTTCTCCATCTATGTCCTGTAAAATGAAGTTGTCAACCCCGTGCAATAACTGGGGAACAGTTGAGGTCATGGATATGTTTAGCAGCAAGAGAAAACGGAGCCCAAACAATAGAAATATGGTGAAGTCCATGACCAGAAAATCCACACTTGAAAAAGGGGGAAAATAAGTCACCATTTGGTTTTCTTAAATCTTCATTCATAGAGAGCGCAATTGCACGCTCTAATTCCTCTTTTTCCTTTTTGGCCCTCGGACGGTGGTCATCCTGAAGAGATTTGAAATGTATTTCACACTCAAAGAATGCATGAAATGTTATAAGTAATAAACAATAAACATATTTTCCATAATCAAGTTAGCATAAAGGTAAAATATCAGCCACCAATTGCATTTGAATAATATTACAAAGTTTCAGGTATCAACCTCTAAGCTCCATATCCATCACTATAATAATAAGTAGGAGAATTTAAGAAAAATTTTTGATTTCTTGAACATTTTGCGGCTCCGTGTTTTTGTACAACAGAAGTATCCCAGACATATGAAAGTTTCTTACAAAATAAACATAATAATCCACATCTCTTTGGTACTATTAGGCATTGACATCATTTTCATAAACAGAAGCTTGCCAATACATAACAAACTGATTCACATATTCTGGAAACATAAAATACTCTAATTATTTCACATATGTGGAAACTTGGTATGGTTGTCATTACATTCTTGCAACCTATTATTACTAATATTTCTCAACTCATTCCAGAATTCTGAAATATGCATTCTAGGTTTTTGTAAGTACTATTACAGTTGGAGAGGAGTAAACAGCTCCTATATTTGATAACAGGAGGCAAAGAACATGATATCAAGCTATGTGCCTATTATTATACCACAAATCAGAGAACCATTGTTTCAGCATTACAAATGAATATATACATCCCCAAACTTTATACAGAATCTTATTCTCACATACATTGAACATTTCAAGAATCAATAGAAGTACAGAGCACAGTAAGAAAATATATCATAATAAAGTACATAAAAATGTCCAAAAGCGTCAACTGTGATAGGGGCTTAAAAGGTGGTGAAGATTGATTTTTTCTAAATTTAAGGGCAATATTCCTCAAAAATCCATGGTGAGAACTTACATTAAATCCACAGATTGCTAATGACAATAGTAGAAATAAACAACCATACAGAATATGTTTCAAGAAAACTATCTGTAATTTTCATAGAAATTGAAATTTAAAAAGAAATGTCACATATTAATACCAAAGATCTAACTGGTGCACGCCAAGACATATTTTCCTCCCCCAGAAGCTGAGGCTGACGTCCATCTGCTGTGACTCCTCTATTATTAGCCCCACTTTTGAAAAGCTTACTTAGCCATTTCATAATCCTCGACTTCCTTTCTGGGTATGAAGAAACAATATGCCCTGCTTAAACCCCACAGTCATATCATATCAATTCAACCAATATACAAATTCAATCTCTACACAAGTAAATAAAAATTCAAAATAAAAACTGCAAAAGGACAATCTTCACTCATACAGACAAAATGTGAAGGACTCAATCTGTTCACATAAACATAGCACAAATAATACACCTAATCACATGGGCATTGCTAATTTAAAAAAGACATAATCTTTGTACAAAAATCATATGGGCATCAATCAAAATGCCAAAAAAGGCATTGTTTGAGTGAAACAAGTTGACAGGCATACCATAAATGCAAGGTTGAGCGAGGTGGTTGACGTTTGAAGAAGACATGGGTTTGAGGGGGTGGATATATATGTATAGAAGAAGGTATTCCTAATTTTCGAGGAAGCCAAAAGGGAGGTTTGAAAATGGTGAAAGGGACTAAGAGAGGAGGTGCAAATGAGAGAAACAGAGAGGGAAAGAGAATAGGAGAGAACAAAGGCATCACTGATAAAGGAAAGTTTAGAGGGAAAGAAATGGAAAAGAAGGAATCTGAAAGAGGGAAAGAGATTCTTGGCTTGGGGAAAGAAAATGAAGAAAGTGAATTGGGCGAGAATCTGGTGATGATGATGGAGAAAAAGGAGAAGAAAAGCTACGCCTTGGACGGCTGAGAATGTAGAGAGATTTTAATGAATGAAGCTTGAGAGAAGACATTCTCTCTTCATGAATATGCTTCTTGTTTGTCTTCAAAATTTTTTTGTTCAGAAAAGCAATTTTTTCCCGCTGTCATTATCATAAAATAATTCCAAGTTCCAACCACGGAGAAGAAAGAAACCAATGCATTTTTGCCTTAAGTTTCGATTTACTTAGAAGAAAATTATTTTTGTTGGTAATTGTGAGAATAAATGTAAATTCACAATATAGTAAAAATTAACAGGATAACTAAACGGATTCCTACATATAGTTTTAGGGGAATAACTTGAAGCGTTAACAAATTTCCTTAAAGCGGATTTCTTCGTATGTGCATGTGTTAGCAAGATGACTCAATGTCCGTCTATCAAAATTTATTACTTCATTTACTAACCTTGATTGACAAATCGAAGCTCGATTGTACCCGTCTCTATCAAAATATTGATGTCTTGAATGTTCGGAAGTTCAAAATACCATTTTAAAAAAATGACAAAATATCTGGAGAGAACGAAGACTAAAAATTCAATTTTTTAAAATTCATTTAGAATGGTGGAATTAAATCGGGGAGCGACGGAGCGCCTATTTATAGATTTTATTGCTTCTTTTGAACTTTTGACATGGATTAATTTGAACCATTGGATGGCAAAATTACAAATTGAAAGTAATTCAACTATTCAAATTGCACTTTTAACGGACATAACAAACTAAAAACGTAACATGTTAGATTGTTGATTTTAACCAATGAAAGTGATTTATTTTCTTTTGCATAATAATGGGAATAACTTGCATTTTGACTTCATATATTCACTTTGTCCATGTTTGGTTTGGGTTAAAGTCAAAATTAAAATTTTAAATTAAAGTTAACAATTAAATTTCATTAAAATATATTAAAAATCTGATTTTAATTTGCACCGAAATTACTATTTAATGGCTGAGTTATTCCATGGGCCCATTCAACTTATTAAAGGGAGACAAAAGCAGGGTGTATCAACGTAATATTCGGCTAATTAAAGAGAGGATTTGTCACTTGTTAATCTTAAAAGTCATTTGAAACCCCACAAACACAAAAGTAAATAAAATTTTGTTCTGATTTTGAACATCACATCCCATTTATATTGAAAAATAATGTTAGTTATAATTTTGTTGTTATCGTGTTAAGCATTGACGTAAACAAGATGTAATTACACTATTCATAATTTAGTCCATGTTTGGTACGAATTAAAATCTAAATTTTAATTCAAGTCAAAGTCAACAATGAAGTTTAATAATATATTTTATAGGACCCATAACTCTGTCAAATATGGGCTAAGTGATACTAACTAGCATATCATCTCTTATAGTCCTCCAAAATTTACATAGAAAATATATTGTCGAAAATGTTAACTTAATTTTGACCTTTGCAATAGAGTCGAAAGTAGCTTCTACTGAATATAAAAATTGTGTTAGTGTGTGTTTGTTTCCAATTATTGCAGATGAAATAGAGTAATGAATAATATTTTTTGGAGAATGTGTGGTTGAAATTTAAAATAACTTTATTGGTTTGTGTGTAGAATATTTTATTAGGTGAATGTGTGATGGAGAGTCTTACTGTAACAAACAATGTTTTGAAATAATGGGAAACAAACGGGGCTTTAGTATACATTGCTCTTCATGTTTATTGTTCATTTAACACCTATACTTTTGCCTTCGTTTGCTTTCGATAAAAAAAAACATATTTTTAATAAATTTTAATAAGAAACAAAATGTATATTAGAAAAATTGCTAAAAGTTGTGAATTCTATAAAATGTATAATTAAAATTAGTTTTTAACTTTGAATTAAATTTTTATCAACTTCTTTTATTTAAACCAAACTCGAGCTTTATATAAGAAGTTTCTAGAAACTCGGTATGTAATTATACGAATATATTGGATCTACATGAAACCTACATCATGCAAGTGGTAGATGATAAAATGTGCTTATTTGGAATCAACAAACATATACCGTGGTTAGTGATCTAACACCTTTTCTAATCCAATCCTATGTTAACAAAGTTGGCATCGGGTTTTAACGTTAGCCAAGTACAAGTCAAGGATAAGTGTGGATTTAGAGATAATATCTTGTTTAAGCGCATCATCTAAAATGTTCACACTTTTTATTTATTTATGTTTAATATTTAAGGTGCACACTAACTCGTAGATTGTATCGAGGGATATTGAACTTTTAGCAAATCTGCGTCGGATTCACTGAGCTTTAATACAAGTGCAAATGTAGTGACTCCATTAGCATTTGTCAATAAATTTAATGTTGAGAAAGTACAGAGTGACTTAAATTAAAATTCAGTTATCTCGATGCAAGTTCGCTAAAGTTCAAGAGGGAAAACGCATTTGATCCTTTTAACTTTTATCAAAGACAACATGTAGATCATTTACGTAAATAGTCGACCATAAAACTTGAATTCACGAATACCATTGTTATAAAATGTTAAGATATTAAAAAAGAATACTCGTATTTGTTCTCCTCCTTTCTCAGTCACAGAGAGAGAGAGAGAGAGAGAGACAGACGTTGTAAATGGAATCTAAGATTAGAGGCTGTAAATGGCATAAGATGACTAGGAATTGACACTCGAAAGTCGTGCGCCTCAGATTTTACGACTTTTTTTTAGAAGTTATTCCTGCCAAAAATATGCCCACAAAAGCTAACCCGATGAGGTAGCGACTTGCGCATTCGAATAACAACTTTTCTTTTTAGTTGTCAGCACAAGATTTGCTTTAAAAACAAAATAATAATATTATTCTGAAATCTAAAGAGCCGTTGGTTGATCCAAAGGGAAAAAAAGGATCGATCACCATTCCCATATGATAGATTCATCTTGTTTCATCATCAGAAGGAAACCTTATCGTGATTGGGAGATGAAAAGTGTCCAGCCATTTATTAAAGTGAAATCTATAAGGAATCTTGATCTAATTCCAGAGCACTAATTTCCGTGACATTGGCTGCGTCTTTGGTACTCAATGTTAGATATTGAGTGTCGGAATTAGTGAAGGAATCTGAAAGAAGAATGAAACTTGAACCAAGAGAAGAAGAACACCATAAAAACAAAGTTTATAAAACGCTGTCGTAAACGATATTTGTCTGAGATTGTTGGCTCAAGGAGGCCAAAATGAAAGCTTTATCGTAATTAATGCTAGCTTGAATGGGCCAGAGAATTTTGCAACCACTCTCTCTCGAGCGAAAGGTCCCTGCACGAGATGAAAGGCAAGAGAATTCTTTCTTTCTCCTTGTGCACATCCTGTTCTCCTTTGTCCATTTCAAAACTATCATTTCTGACTCGGGATTAAGCATTAACTTGTTAAACAATTACCGTACAAACTTGATTAATCTTTTAAACAATTCTAACAATGAGTTCACGATTTACAATAAAAAGAAGAAAATTTTAATTCTTTTTTCTTTGTTAATAATTTATAGCGCGTCCAATACTCTCTACCAAATGTGTTACGAGTTATAATCATTTCTTCGTGGATCAATCCCTACTTTTATTGCCACTTGTGCGTTCAATCTATGCGGGTGTAACGAGGATGTCCTCTTTGCACATATCATAATATACTGATAGATGTGCAGTACTTGCTAGTGTCAGCATCCCCTCTACCCCAATATTTTCATTTGACGTATCGTCACCTTATAATTCCACACTAAAACGACCAGGATTCAATGTAAAATTCAAAGAAATATGTGGCAAATTGATGATTAGATTGCTGGTCTGTTTCGCACCACATATTCCGGCAATTTTGCTATGCCTAGAAACATTTCCTTTCCTCATCTGGCTAGTTGAGACTAATTTAAGCACTGTGTGTCTTGTGACCTAGAATGATTTTGCAACTTGCAAGAGACGTTCTCTTAGAAATCTCTTTGGGAGATGAAAGCAACCATTAGACATACTTTCATCCTCGTATGTCAAGCCAACAACACTGGATTTTGAAGGAGAAATACATATTCCATTTCCTAGATACGCATAGGTTGTATTCAACTAGACTTTGAAAATTATAACATCTCAACGTATAGTCCTGTCGACTACTTCCTTATCTTACTAGGCATGAAACTTTCGACATTTTTTTCTTTCACACGTTTCTAATGTATACCTAAACTTATAAGTAATCTTTTAGGAGGAATAGTAATGGATCCATAAAATAGTTGATGATGATGAGTATTATTTATGAATAGTGGTGAAAATTAATGTTAGACTTTGACCTAAACAAAAAAAATAATAATAATAACTTTGCAGTAATCAATTTATTAATAATTATCCTATCAAGAGTTTGTTAGAGAGAATATGTATATACAGTATAATCATTAAACAATAGAAAATGGACAATGCTAGTGTACATCAAGTTTGACATTCCCCTCACATGGGGTGGATCCCGTGATTGTGGGTCCCATGTGGGCCCCACTCCCCATGTGAGGGGAGTGTCAAAATGAATGTACATCAAGGAGTGTACATTCATCATTATCCAAAGTATATTGTTATTCAATCACGTGTGGAACTCAGAAAAATTGGATCTCCTCTTATAGCTCCGTAAGGTATGATATAATTTCCCTCATTAACAAGACCGTTACATTGCCCATTTAGCCCCTGTTTGGGCCATTAAAAATAGATTTTGAGGAAAAAAGTATATTTTGTAGCTG